AAGTGAGCCTATATAAGAATGATTTAATTGATATTTTATAATATTCCCGTTTTTTTTCAAATATAAACAGAAATATTTTAAAATCTGGGTTTCATAAAAATATTTTATGTGGTTTTTAAAGAGTTTTGGAGGAAAATATTCTGAAAGGTTGTATTTATATTTTAAAATGTGGTTGACATTTTAACTTTTTTTAAAAATAATATGATTTTATATATTTATATTATTTTTTAAATCTTTTAATAATATCAAACACATTGACGCAACTCACAAATTGATTCTTAATGTTTCAGAAAACGATTTTTTGACCTATATGCCCTAGTTTGAAAACGTTAATACCAAAGTACCCCAGTTTGAAATATATTTACGCGTTTGTCCTACTTTTGCAGGAGTTCGTCCAACAGAAGGACGAACCAGTGAAACACGTGAAGAAGTTCGTCCAATGGAGTGGCGAACGTGTAGGAGAAACAATCGTTGAGTGAGTTCGCCCATTGAAAGGGCGAACGTGTGAAGGGTTGATTTTTTTTTTATTTTTAATTTTTTCAGATTTTCAAATAAATATATTTAATATTTTTAATTTCATTAATTTCAAATATATTTAATATTTTTATTTAAAATAATTAAAAATATATTTAATATAAAACATAAAAAAATTTTCCATATTAAAACTATTTATTTAAAATGTATTGGCTACAAAATATATTTAATCAATGTAATTAAAGTAATAAATAAACTATTTAATAAAAAAATTAAATTAATTCTATATTAAAATTATTTAATTAATTTAATATAAACTATATTCAATTAATATAATTATTCTAATATATAAATAATGTAATTTATTTTTTATAAAAACTATTAAATTAATTTAAGAAAAAAACTATTTAATTAATTTTATATGTAAATTATTTTTACAGACGCTCGGTCACTGAATGACCGAACTCAAACATATATGTCTTGTATAAATAAGCTTATCCGATTTACTATCATTCGTGTCAAGTTATCCAAATTATAAAGATGTCTGTTGAAGCTCATGTTTTCTATGGTCCTAAGAAAAAAATCAGTGTTTTCCTAGATCCGCTGTGGAATTTCAGAACTGTGGTTGCAACAATTAACACCGGGTTTCGGCAGCTGGGCGGTCGCCGCGTGACGGTGAAAAAAATTGAGTATCGTTGTCCATATATAACGCTTACTGATGCTAGCCCGGAGGGGACGTACATGTACTACCTAGATCGTATAGAAAACGATGAAGATGTTCATTGCATGTTTTCAGCACATAGCGGTGACTTTGCATGTTTTCAGCACATAGCGGTGAAGTCAACAGAGGAGTCACAGATCCACTTGTGTTGGTCGCTGTTGTATGTTAGAGTTTATGTGAGTTTCATGAGTTTTATTTTAGCGTTTGTGGAGTAAAGGATCAACTTTATGTTTGTAGTGTGCTACTTTTGTTGTATTTTGAAAGTTCTTTTGAATTAATAATTATTGATGGATCAAATACGAAAGTAGTACAATATAATTATCTATTCGGTCGGTTTGACGGACCGGCAACATTGGGACATTTACTACGCATATGACCTATTTCTCTGCAAATCCCACACCGTCTCTTCTCTTTTTCTGCGTCATCCATCTCAGTTCTAATTCTACTACTTCTTGGACGCCCCTTTTTATTTCTTCTCATTGAATCGTCGTGGCACAGGGTGAAACCTTCATATTTTGGCCAGTTCTCCTCGTGTGGTAGTCCCAGGAAGCTTTCCTTGTAAACCTTGAATACGTTAAGTACTGTGAAGACCTATGAAATGTGAATTGCATAGTCTTGTCGTATGCTAGAACATGTCGCTATCACGTGGGAGCAAGGCAAGTGAAACGTTTGAAATTTTCCACAGTCACACTTACGATTCCTCAAGTCAATGCTGAAAGTACCCGTTGGACGACCATCATTGTAATTAATCTTTTCCTGCACCATGAAACAAAATCTTTCTCGATCAAATTGCATGACGTTGTGTGTGTTAGCCTTGGCTACCTCCTCAGCCATTCCCTTGTTACAACCATCTGTGAAAACTTTCCCTGAAGATAGCATCTTGGTCCATTTGTGTCCTCGCTTACCAAATAGTGAACCCATTCGATAATATGTAGACTGGACCAATGCCGTGATGGGAAGGTTTCTCGTGGCCTTTAGTACAGAGTTTATTGCTTCTGCTAAGTTAGATGTCATATGTCCCCAACGTTGCCCTCTGTCAAATGCTCTAGCCCACTTCTCCCTAGGAATATTGTCTATCCAATTTAAAGCCTCAGCGTTGGATCTTCTGATTTCTCCGCGATAATAATTAAATGAAGCCTCCGTCAATGCGTAACCTGTATCAAGAATTGTGTGAGAAAAAATGATAAAAACGTGCCACAAAATTTTAGATAAGCGGTATTTATTTCGTTACCCATGTTAACAAGTGTTTTGCGTAGAACCTTGTCCTTAATCTCGCGCATGAAGTTCTGAGCAATGTGTCTTATGCAGTAGACATGTGAAGAGGGGGGATGTTGCCAACCGTTTTCAGGATTGTTGTATGCACTTTTTATCGATTCATGTCTATCAGATATTAGACATAAATTTGGTTGTGGTGTCACGTGTAATCGTAGGTTCCTCAGAAAAAAACTCCAAGCTTCCTTTGTTTCTCCTTCGACCAATGCGAATGCCACTGGGAAAATATTTGCGTTGCCATCCTGTGCCACCGCTGTCAATAGAGTTCCTCTGTACTTACCGTACAACCATGTCCCGTCTACTTGCACAATGGGCTTACAGTAGGCGAAACCACGTATACACGGACGAAATGCCCAAAACAGACGATGGAATATTCGTTTTCCGGAGTTTTCGGAACCATCACTTGATGTTGCAGGTAGGGTTTGCAAATCTATAATGGTTCCTGGAAGAAAGGTTTTCATTACCAATATCCACTGCGGTAGGTCGTTATACGATGTTTCCCAATTCTAGATGATGAATCAGGACCCTCTACAAGGCAGACAAACCCCCCGACAACACATCACAATGAAGATTTGTCTTTTGACTCGTCTCAGTCATCTGCAAACGAGCGTTTGGGGAGAGGACACCGACAGAGAAGGGCCCCTAGGTGTGGAACTGGGGGTCATATTCGATGCTATGTATATTTAAGTAATCAATTTTTTTTGTAACTATTAAATCTTGAAATTTTATTCTTATCAATTATTTGATCAATTAATTAAATACGTTTATTATTAAATTAATTCAACATATTTTATAGTTTTATATTAAATAGTTTTTTTTTAAAATTAATTAAATATATTTTATATCAGTTTAATTAAATAGATTTTATAAGTTTTATATTAAATAGTTTTCACATGTTAAATAGTAGATTAATTTAATCAAAAATAAAATACTCCTAATTTATTAAAAATTCTACTTTATTAATTTTTATACAAAATTTTTATATGTTTCAAATTAAATCATTTTTTCCATCATTAATTATATATATTAGAAGTATTAAATATATTTGAAATTAATGAAATTAAAAATATTAAATATATTTATTTGAAAATCTGAAAAAATTAAAAAAAAAAAAAATTAACCCTTCACACGTTCGCCCTTTCAATGGGCGAGCTCACTCAACGATTGTTTCTCCTACACGTTCGCCACTCCATTGGACGAACTTCTTCACGTGTTTCACTGGTTCGTCCTTCTGTTGGACGAACTCCTGCAAAAGTAGGACAAACGCGTAAATATGTTTTAAATTGGGGTACTTTGGTATTAACGTTTTCAAACTAGGGCATATAGGTCAAAAAATCTCAGAAAACAAGCAAGTTTAAATTAGTAATTTTCAATCTACTTTAATTTTTGAATAGTTTGATTTCTGAAATTGAAGTAATAAATTTAATCTTTTAACATATAGAAATGATAACAATTTCAAAAATCCACCTTCACAATTTCAAGATATCATATTAAAAAAGTATTCAATCCAAACTAAAAGGTTCAGATATTTTTCAATTCTGACAAAAATTGAACCAAATCAATAAAATTCAATATTAATTAATTTGTACAATAAATTTCTAAAATTTTATCTGTAAATCCATTTACTTGAACTAATTATAATGAACTAATATAATATATATTATTATTATTATTATTATCATAAAAACTAAAATAAGATATTTAACTTTGAGAAAAAAAAATAAAACATTCAAACGAAAAAAATTAAAAATTTTATATTATTTTAAAAAAAATAATTGATGTAAATTAGATAGTATAAAAAATATTTTTGTATATATGTTTATTCGATCAATTCAACTCAAATCTATTCATTATTTATTGGTTTAGTTTCGTTTAAACTTTATCACAATATATTGTTTATTTATTATTTATTCATATATTTTAAATTGATTTAGACGTCAAATTCTCGAAAACTTTTTAAATTCAAACCCAAATATAATGTTTACCTAGCAATTTAAGCATTTTTCAGATGAAACAGAAGCACAAACAAAATATTTAAGTAATTCTCTACCATATTATGCTATTTGATATCTCTATTTCTTCGCTATGCAAAAATATTTTAATATTTTTAACATGTCGACCAAAGAAGAGATTTTTTAAAGGGCAAAAGAGAGATAAAAAATATAAGAAATGATAATAGAATGCAATAACGACTAATGTGAAAAAAATAATAATAAACAAATAATGTAAGAAAAAATCTTGAAAAGTTAACGAAAACCCCCAATTAAACTTTCTTCCCGATGGTTACGCTTCGTCGGTTCTTCCCTCGTCCCATTTTTTCACTACACCATCATATCTCACCTCCACTTCATAACTCGTCAACTCAGTAACGCGTTCGCGCGTGACGAAACCTTCTCGAACCTTCTCAGATCGAACTTCCTTTCCTCTCCGCGATCCAATTCAACGCGCTTTCATTTTCAACTTCAACTCATTTTCCTTTTTTCGATTTCGTTAATCACGACTCTAACACCGCGTTTCGAGAACGATTGCGGCAATGGCGGAAGAGAAAGCGGTTACTAGCGGCGGCGGCGGTGGCGGTGGCGGTGAGAAGACAAATGACACTGTTGATTCTACTCGAGAAAACGGAAAGACGAAGCGTAAAGGTTTAATTTCTCGAATTTGGAATTTTATTTTTAGGTCTAATAAAGATAATTTGGAAAAAAGGCTTCAGAGTATTTCTAAGGAAGAATCTTCGGTTATGACTAGAATGAATAAGAGATCCCGTTCATGGAGGCGAGCCTCTCGCCATATTATTATTTTTTCTGTTTTATTTGAGGTATATTTTTCATTCCGATTTTTACTCTAGATGTTTATCAATTTAATTGTTAATTATTTTTAGTGTTCATTAGTTATTTATTCATTATTCCTGCACCAGTCCAAAAAATTCACTACTCTTGCAAAAAAATAATTTAATTATTATTGATACTATTATATGATAAGATTTTAGAATAATATTTGGAATTTAGGTTGTGTTTGGTTCACCCCTAAAAAATTGAGTTATAAGATAAGGGGTGTGTTGCATACTGCTTTATTATAATTACTAATGAGATTATATAACTATAGTGAGTATTCAAGAGGAAATAACCTCTCTTGTTGTCTTCTGAAAATACAAACATTCTGTCTCTTTGGTTTTTGGAAGGTTTTTGTTGTCGATTAGTATGATAATGATTGGAGTTGTTGCCATCTTTTAGTATAGGTTTGATTTACATTTGAAAATATGCGAAAATGCTGAGAAGGTATATTTGGACTCTAAGGGTATTATGTTTGGATTGATGGAATTGGATGGAATGGAGTGGTATGAGATGGAATGAAGAGTTATTCTATTGTTTAGATCAGTTAAAATCGGAAGCAGCGGTGCAGAATGGGGTGGTATGGATTTCATTCCATCACTTACCACCATATTTCTCCCCCTCCGATTTGGATGGAATGACAAACTTACCTTATTTCCTCCTAAAATATACAAAAGATGAAATGGAATCTTCATTTCGCTCTACTCCATTTCACTCCATTCCATTTTGCTCAATTCATTTTATGATATCCAAACATAGCCTTAATATCCGTAGCATGTGTTTAGGCACCCAACAATGAGTTTGCAATGGAATTCCATACACACCGGTTACATTAGTCATTTTTTACCTTCTTTTTTTTATCTTTCAAAGGAGAGTAGTAACAGAAGGAGATGACACTTTGGTTACTAAATTGATGATAAAAGTCTTTGAAGACTGAAGTTTATAACACTTGTGATGTTTACAAAATATATATGATTATCTGATGATAAAAGTCTTTTTGTAGAATGAAAAGAGGGGCTTGCTCAAATTTTAAATTAATTTGACGATATATTAATATTATTCTACCCAGGGTTTTATTTTATGGCATTGCTGGAAAAATATATTTTGCTGAAAACATTTTCAATATTTTCAGGTCATTGCCGTAGCTTATGCGATTATGACAACAAGAACTGTGGATATGAATTGGAAAATGAGGGCAGTTCGAGTTTTGCCGATGTTTCTTTTGCCTGCATTTTCATCTGCTGCATATTCAACATTTGTAAGCTTCATAAGGATGTGTATGTGTCACGAAATTTCTAATTAATTCACATATCTTGCTGAATTTAGTTTGTTTTTTATTTTTATTTTTATAAATCAGATCACCAGTTCTTAATCATGTCGATTGTTCTACAGAATTTGCAGTCTGACATCCAGGTCAATAAAACCTTTAATTTTGTATCTCCCATGATATTTTTAAATTTGAGGTTTGGCATAGTGTTGACATATGACATTTTTACTGTTCGGAAATAGTTCTGACTTCATCATTTTCTATAGAATTTCTGTTGGTATTTGTGCTTTAAGTGGAGTTCCTGCCAAGAATTTAAAACAAACTTCTTCCTCTATGCATTATTGATTACCTTGGTGTAATCTTGCAGTAATGCCGATAACAGAACATGATCTTCATGTGTCATTAGGACATTTATTAGAAGCTCCTAAAAATGATGCTGTTTAGGACATATACCTAAAATGAAGCTTCTGTGTAAATAAATTTGTGCTTGAAGGAGCAGTATTTGAATAAAGAAACTTGGTACCATCAGTAATGCGATTTAATAAGCTATGACTCCTAACTCTAAAGATGAATTTGCAACATTAGCTTTCAATTTAATGGGTGCAATTTTTTGGACTGGAAGCACGTGTTTAAAGTTCGATATGCCAAGTGCAAATACTATTGGTTGAATTTTTAATATGAAGGTATTATTTTAATAGGTGATCGCAGGGACCAGAAAACTCTTGATAGGCTGAGAGCTGAAAGGAAGGAAAAAATTGACGACCTTAAAGAGAAGACAAACTATTACATTACTCAACAACTCATTCAGGTGTTTGTTTGGTGTGATACTTGTTACATGGCTTTCAATATTACATTTTTCTCCTTGTTGTTTGGAGCTGACAATATTTGTTTGGGGTTGTATTGATCTGTTCATGTTCTTAAATATAAAATAATCCGAGGCTTCATTTGGGGCATTTTATGAAGTAAATATTTTAGTATAATTATATGCTATTATAACTATATATGTTGGCATTTCATTTTGTAATCAATAAATCAAGTCAAGCATTTTGGTCCCCTAACATTCCCTCCCCCATCACTTGATACCATCCAATAAGGGAAAATATTTCCCTTGAGCTACTATGAAGCCTACTCACTGCGAATGCCACCATTCCACAGCCACCACCTCATTATAAGTACTAGATTCAACTTACTACAGAGGACCCTTAAGAAAAAGACCCGTATACCATATATATTTTTAAACTTGTGCTAGATTTCAATGAGATTTCTTATGCTTTGTGTTGTTAATCTAACCGTGCTTGATTTTACTTGTGATTGTAGAAATATGACACAGACCCAGCAGCAAAGGCGGCTGCTGCAACTGTTTTGGCATCCAAGTTGGGTGCAGAATCAGGTTTGAAACTACACATGGCAGACGAATCCAAATCTGGTGCTCCGACAGGAAAGACCAACAATGTTGAACTTGTGCAGTCTGGTGGACTTAGGAATCGCAAACAAGGGCAAGCTCAATCCACTACTCTAGGGACAACAGCTCCAAATCATCCCGATCAACAATCAGTTGCTTCTAGGGGAACTGATCAAACTCAGACTCACACGCAGAAACAGGTTGTAGTTGTTGAGCATCACCAACCTCAAAGCTCAACAAAGTATGATGGAGGATGGATTGCTCAAATTGCAGCATTGCTTGTCGGTGAGGATCCAAAGCAGTCTTATGCACTCATATGCGGTAACTGCTATATGCATAATGGTAAGTGGAATTTTGGTTTAGTCTTACAGGCTTGATCATAAAATTATGCATTGATGGTTAAAATTAAGTTTAAGCATAACCAATCGTGACCCATCCCATTTATGTTCCAGTCAATACTGTCTCTTTCCACCTGGCACGCCCTTTACTTGATATATGCCTCCTATGTGTATATGGAAATATATCTAGCAAGAAGGCTTTTTTTACAGCACTAACAGAAATAGATTTTGACTATGCAATAATGCAACCATATATAGATAGTGAAGATGAATAATTAAAGGTTGCCACTTGATCACTCTAAAAAATATTTTTACACATTTTTGACCATGATAAGGTCTTATTTCTTCAGGTCTTGCTCGGAGAGAGGATTTCCCATTTATCACTTACTACTGCCCACACTGCCATGCCCTGAACAAACCAAAGCATTCAGCTGAACCCATATCTGCTCTTAATTCGACAAACACCAGGTCCCCTATAACAGATGATGGAGAGGCAGATACAAATGACAGTATTTGTGCTTCTGACAGTTCGGTCAGAAACAATGAACCAGTAAATGCTACCCCTGAGATTGAGCATACATCTGAAGAGGTTGATTTAAAAGGGAATGAAGAAAGATAGCTATAAGAGAGCTTCATTCAAGGACGGGCTGTTTGAATACATGACTCCTTGTTTCATGAAACTGACAACTATAAAGAATGCAACTTTGCAGTTGGTTTTGTATCACGTATATATATTTTGCTTGTGACTCAACGCAAATTTTCTGAGTTGATTTTTCTTTTATATATATATATATATATATATATATATATATATATATATATATATATATATATATATATATATATATATATATATATATATATATATATATATATATATTGATTGCGACAGTCTTAGATTAAGAGTTGAAGTAAATGTAAGTCAAATTGCACCCACTTATTCCCAATAGTTTTGAAAATAAAAATAATTTAAAGAGATTTAAAAAATTTGCAAAATCTAAAAGGCACTGTGCTCAGGACTGTTAACCCGAAAATAGATAAATTTCAAGATTTATGATCATGAAAGTTAAATTTGAATAGATTTTAAATCTTTTATCAACAAGCTATATTAATTTCATTTTACATCTTAATAGTATTTTTTTATTTGTAACTTCACAACGTAGTTATATTGATCATTTATAAAGAAATTTTTTTATTGCACCATACCTACCTATAATGCATAATGTGAATTTTTATATTTGTTCATTGATTTTGGAAATATATCTTTGGAATCCACTTATTTTTTAATAAACATTGATATATTTTAGAGATATATCTTCAGAACATATCACTCAGACACTATTTATATTTGAATTGTTTCGGAGATGGATATTAGGTAATTTTTCAGAGATACATCTCTGAAGTATATCAGATTTTTACTGTAAGTTGTGTATTTGTTTTCAGATAAATATAACACACGATCCAAAATAAATAAAAAATAGACGTACACAATAATAAGAGACTAACACTGCATGAAGTATAACAATATATGTAAAAAATGTCGTACAATTGATATCTAAAATGTGATAAATTTGTAAAAATAAAGTAAAGAGTATAGTAATAGAACAAAATAATAACAGACTATTACTGGGTGTGCCTGACAACATCTCATATACCTCATCTGTTTGCTTTACCTCCTCCACCATCAATCTCCTCCGTCCTCTGGCGATGTCTCTAGTACAACAGTGTCCCCTGTGCTTCCACCACCATGGCCTCCAAGACTCACCTAACAGCAGACCTCTTAGGAAAAATACCCTCGTCAATGTCTGCCCACGCAATCTTCACTGTGCGACGATACCGAGGCAAAACATCATAAGTATGAACTTGTTGAGCACACTCTTCCTCAAGTATCTCTTGATGAGCTGGTTTCGAAGTATTTCCTGGAGTAGTCTGCACCATGTACAAATGTGACACCTTAAATAATCACCTGATGTATCCGTCGACGTAGCTCCAATCGCTCGGACCTATGGTAGCCCAGGTCTCCTCCAGAACCAGATCACTCTCATAATCAACAAACATCTCCTCTATTTGTCTACGTGTTAAGGCAGGAGGAGCAGGGGTAACAAGGTGTCTAAGGATGGTTTGGGTGTACCCGAACTGTCGCATGACGCGCTCGGGTAGGTGAGGAGTAGTGATACACGATCTGTAGGCCAACAATCCGGAGTATAGCGATATCTCGTCAAATGGTCGCGTTTGACGGTGATCCACGTAACTGTTGAAGTGTATGTCCTCAACAACCAAACGGTCAAGGTAGACTCTGAAAGGCTCGACCGCTTGCTTCCTTTTAAGCGGGATAAAAGCATAGGCACGAGGCATGTCCTCAGCGTACTTATCCACACTTGCCTAGCTAGCGACGCAGAAAGTGCTGGAGGATCCAAGTCTAAAATGAAAATAAATAAAAAATATTCAAGGATCAAGAATTATCGGCAATGGTTTCGCAAATATGAAATGAAAATGATAAAAGAAATATTCAAGGATCAAGATATATTACCACCAGTAGTGTCACGCTGCTTGTGACCTACTTCGTCTTCCACCGACATCCATCTCTCAACGTTGAATACAGATAGGCCAAGCAAGACGCCCCCCAGTTGTACTCATGGATCTGAGTGAGATCCAAGAAGTACCGGAGGTATGCAACGTCTATATAGGTGACACTCGTGTCCACAAAAATGCAAGTACCAACCAAAAAAATAAAATATGTCCTCAAAGCACGAGCCATGTGTAATGCCACTTGCTCATCATCACCATGAGTCTGTTGTGCAGCAACAATCTTATCATATCTCTCCTTCAGGAACTTAAACCTAGCATGAGCACTTCTGGTCCTATCCACTCCTTTATCTTCTTCCTTGAATCAACCCCCAGATGCTCTACCATCATCTCGACTCCCTCATCTTTGGTTATCCTACTGTGATCGAGGAATCTCCCCCTGATCGGAAGATGTAACAAACATGAGACATTGTCTAGTGTGATAGACATCTCACCACGCGGAAGATGAAATAGAGAGGTCTCAAAATTTCATCTCTTCACAAATGCATTAAGCATCTCGTGGTTGACCAACGTGTAATCGGTCATGCATAGGACATTTCAGCCAGATATTAACAGAACAAACTGAAACTAATCCTCCTTCGACTGAGGCAAGTCAACAATCTTCTTCCCATGGTTAAGAAATTTCTGGGAATCACGCACCTGAATTTTTCCAGAAATAATCAATGTTAATAATAATTAATGTCAGAAAAAATCAATGTCGGCAATTAAAATTAACGTAAAAAATAAATCAAAAACCCAACTATTGATACCTCTTCGTCCCAAATATGTCTGATAGTGTGGTCTGGATACGGAGGAAGTAAGAAAAAAATTAGATGGACCTCCTCCAAAACCCTTTAGCTCAGCATCTGCAGCAGCCTTACCCTTCGGAGGTGGGCACTAGATTAGCAGGAACGTCAACGGGATGTGGCATTGTATTCGTAGAAGGTGGCACTGGTGAATCTTGACGCTTGCGGGAGGATGGAGGAAATGACACGTTAATTGGTAAATCTCGTCTCCTACGGGAAGAAGAAGAATGTGGAATGGCCTGAGATGAAGTGGCCTGAGGTGAAGCATAATCCCAAGGAGTAGATGACACCCCAAAAGTTGACGCCTCTGACTGACCAGAGGTACCTGCTGCCCTCCAGAACCTATTGGCTCCTTTCCCGCCGAACGGATGTGTGCTGGGCTACCCTGTCATGTATCAGTCGGTTGACCCTGTCAGGCATTATGCTTGTAAGGTAAAGTAAGGCATATCATCAGTGCACCCAAACAAAACACACAAACAAGAAAATAAAAATAAAAAACAGATTGCAGGAAATTTCAGAGGTGCATCTCCGGAAACACCATAAAACAATAACGTTGAACAATTCTGAATATGCATTTTTGGAAACACTATAAAAGTATTAACTTTGAAGAGTTTCGGAGATGCATCTTCGAGAATTCCCGAAGTATATGAAACAGTGAACTATTCTAAATGTATCTTCGGAAAGTTCTACAACTTTGAGGTCGCGACAATGGTGTAATGTGTCTCATGCAATTTGAAAAAACATGATCTGATCGCAGTTTGAGCCAACAAACAAGTCATACACTAAGTCTAAACTATGTTACATGTGATTCTAACACATTTCTAATCCTAATAACAGTTTTCTACACATTTGCACTAAAACTCAAAATTTATTCGAAAACTCGAAAATGTACTTGAAATTTATGGTTTTGATGATGTTGAATGATGTTATTGATAATGTTTGATGTTCCTTTGAATCTTGTTTGATGAAATTTGATGTTGTGAAGTTGAAGTGTATTGAGAATAGTTTGAGGAGTGTGAACAAATTGTAAAATGAGGGAGGAGAAGAGTCTAGCGCGATTTATACTCCAAATTGTTTCGGAAATATATCTTTAGAATATTTCAACGTTCACTGAACTTTGGGTGCGTATGAAAATATATCTCTAAAATTACGAATCATATATAAAATTTTACATAATGCAATAGAAATACATAGGATGCTATAAAAAATTCTTTTTATAAATTTAACATTATATTATCACTTGAGATTTTTGCATTAGAAACTTTTCTAAATGTGAACTTAACATGGGCGTGTAATATTTGTCCTTCACACACTAGTTGATTTTTTTACTTGATATAAACAGTTGAATAAATTAATGGTAAATTATATTTTCCATCTGAATAAAAATAAAGCATTCTTCTCTACCATTTTAAAAAATTAAATATTACTTAACATCTTTGATTATTTGTATTAATTAAAATAAAATAGAACTCAATAGTGTACTATTCATTTTATAATTATTATTGTGCTATATATTCTTCTCTTCGATTTAGACACAGTAAAAAATTTATTTTAGAGAAAGGTTATTCTAACACTATTTTTTATATCTATATCTATTTTACTGTTCATTAATACGGCAAACAGTGAAATATTATAATATTAAATATATATTTTTAAATATATAAAAAATTAATTTTTTATTTATTTTTAATTAAATAATACTGATATAAAATTGTATAATTAACCAATTTCATAACTTTATTAATCAATATTTTATATATTATTAATCAACTTTATTTGTTTACTGCTAAAAAATATTTTTAATTTTTAATATCTAAAAGTTTATTAACCAATTTCATATTTTCGATAATCAAATTTTTATTTTTCATTAACCAATGTTGTTTTATTACTAAAAATTATTTTTAATATCTGAGTCGTTTATTAACCAATTTCATCACTTCATTAATCAATTTTTTATACTTCGTTAACCAACTTTGTTTCATAATTTAAAGAATTATTTACGGATATGGTTCATGAGTCACTTTTCATACACTGTCATGGTATTGTTCACAACATTATTCATAAATATATTTTTTATATTAAAAAATACACTGTTTATCGTATAAATACGGTAAATAGTATATACATTGTAAGTATTGATGTAGAATATTGGTGTAAGAATAGTATTGTTTATTTAATTTGACTCTGGCACAAAATATTTAAATAACATAATAAAATTTATATTATCCTATGTCTCATTTCAACTCAT